AAACATCCTCAGCAGAAAAAAAAAAAAAAAAAAAGAGCAATTCTGACACAAATCTATGAAAGTGTTTATCACCAGCAGATAAAGCAAAGGAGATTCCCCACCACCACCCTTTAAAAAAATACCGGATTTTTCAGAAAGAGCTGGACAATATGGAATTCCCTACTCCTAGCCTCCTAAGTACAAAGCCAAACTACTTCAGAGGATGTAAAGAGAAATTCTAGAAAGACTGTCTCAGGTGATTCAGTCATGAAAAAAGTAGGAAGGAAGCCTCATCAGCCTCACCATAGCATGAGTCTGAAAGACTGCTCTACCACAAAGATATTATATGAGTTTCCTGTGTCTTTTGAAATTAAGGATTTTCTCCTAAAAGCTGTAAAATCAATTATTCCAATCTAGTCAGATAACAACATGATCAATGATTGAAGGATTAAAAAAAAAAAACAACAAAACAAAACCGCACCACAAACAAAACCACAAGTTTCATTAACACTAAAATATAAATTTAAAAACCGACATCATAGTGGCAATCCTTTTGTTGCTTAAAAACATTTGTTCATCTCCTAAAATAAGCACAATAATAATTAACAACTAGAAACAATCATATAATGCAGGAATTATGTCTTACTGATCCTTCTGATTAGATGTTACCTGTAACACTAAATAATTACAACAACCCACTTCAGAAATTGTGTATGACTTTACCGTTTTTCTATTTTTTTTCCGCACGTCAGTTGGGTTTTTTTTAAGATTGATTTCATCTTGTAAATGCAGAAAAAGAATCTGCATGTTTCTCTGCTTTTTTGTTTTCTTTTTTTTTTTTCATTAAAAAGAAGAGACGTAACTTCTAACTTGCATCTTAATTGTTTTTAAAAGCTGCAGATTGCTGTGGGTGGAATTAGAAGCATATGAAGACAATGCAACTGCCATCCCTGTTAGTCTATTCAGATCACTTTTTCAGTAAAGCATAAGTGCCAGCTAAGCAAAGTCTTGTTAACTTTGAAGCATGTGTTGTCAGCCCCTGCAAGTTTCATGCTGATAAAAAAAAAAAAAAAACAGACTGCCCAGATGGATAGTCAAGAGAATTTTTGTCATTATTACAAGGAGAACAAAAGATTTTTTAACTGCAGATGTATGTATGAATAATATTCGAAGTCAGCATCTAAAAATGTCTCGCTTATGTCATGCTTCTGCAGACTTAACAAAGAGTGTGTAAATCCCATTATGTTTTATGGGAGAAAATAATATTCCTGCCCGAGAAAATACAGAAAACCTTAGAGGAAAAAGAGCTAGAAGGGTCGCATTATCTGACTTTTGCCAACTCACTACGAATACACCACCGTTCATAAAAGGTGACATGAAGTTCTTTGAAGTCTAAGAATTAATGTTGTCTCAAACACGTTCAGCTCTGTGAGAGAGTGAGTTCATTATCTCTGACTGTATAAACTCAAGCAGTAGTAACTGTTTACTGAAACAACCTGTAAATGTGTTAGCCTGTGTTTGCAGAGGATAAGGACTGTGCCATCCCAGGCCCACTTCAGACCCTAAAAGTGGTTCTTTTCTCACCCTTATCTGACTCATCCTTGATCAGACTGCCTCTGAACAGAGTTTACACTCCTCTTCTTTGATCTACTTTATAAGAACATCAGAACTGTTTACTTTGAAATGCACACATTTCTTTCTTGGGGTGCAGGGAAAGGAGATCGTCTTTTAAGACATGAACAGATAAATTCAAGCCAATTAGTGATTTTCAGAGTGTTTCTTATCTTGTCCAGTATCCTGAAACATAACTGCTTATTGCTTAATCTTCTTCTTTAATAAGTTCATAAGAATTAACTCATTCTACTACCTATTACATAATGCAAAACTTCCCACCCTACTTTCTACAAATGACCTAACAAATTGCCATGCTAAAGCTACTGTGATCTAGTTTCAAAACTCTCGTTGAAGACTTCTTTAAATCTCTGATGCTACATAAGCTGAAGTCAACAACCGTACCTCACACTTCAGAGGAAGATGAGAGTCGTAATTGCAGCACTCTGCCTCATGGACAGCAGTGGAAAATACTTAACCCTGCGTTTCCAACTAACTCCTTGTTCAAACAACATCTACCCACCTTGACTTGATAAAGAGCAGCGTGTTACTCATAAGTATATTGGGAAGATACTAGTGTCAGTGTTTCTCCATAATTTTTACCTGTCTACAGGCTCGATAACTCGTTCCTACCTCTAGTTGCTCTCTTTTGCTGATAGAAAGGCAACAAGATTCTTCCAAGCCTTACATCTAACAGGCAAGAGGGGGTCCAAATTCGCTTTTAAGTCTCATAAAAGAGACCTCTTTATGTCCTCTTTTATTACCAGTCCCTCTGAATCGTTGTCCTTCATATCAGGAGATAAAGATTGAAAATCACGGAGTGGTTCAAGAGTCGAGGCCAGCTTTGGCAGCATAAGAAGCTCAGGCCATGATGCAATTAGCAGCAGCTACGTGGTCAAGAGACGACTCAGAGCTGAACTCGGCGCCAGGTCAGGTAGCCTTGAGTCCTGCTAACTACCTCGTTCATAGATTAGACGGATGTAACAATCACCTGAAAAGGGAGATTAAAGCGCCTCTCAATGGGGTCCTTTGTTCTCGGGCTCATTTGATGCTTTGCGGCCTTTTCAAACCGCGTCGCGGAAGGCGCTTTAAATATTTGCTCCCAGAGCTGGGGCGGCTTCAGAGAGCGGGGAGCGCCAGCAGCAGCGGCGGGGCCGGGAGCGATGGAGAAGGGGCCCTTTTCGGTGGAGTGGTTGGCCCAGAGCAGCCGCGGCGGAGCCCAGCTCGTCGCCG